GGTAACAAAGATTTAAATTTGATTACATTCAAATTCAACCCTTCTACCTGAATACCGATACCATTTTCACCACCAACAGTAATTGTACCATTTATGTGTTGGCTGTGTACCTTACCCTTTACAGAAAGATGAAATCATTTCCCCCAAACTAGGAGAGGAGCCTATGACTTTGAATCTGAGGTTCATCAATCTTGCTTTCTCACGTCATCCCAACTAAAAGGAAGCTAACTTCTTAGAAAAAATGATTGATTCCAGGCCTGAGGCAGGAGGAAAGTACACATCCATTTGGGACACATCCTGTTGCACCAGACAGACTAAAGAGGGCAGGCCTAAAAGGGCTCGGTGGTGCGCCCACAGACAACATGTGAACACGGGAAAGAGTACCAGCAGTGAGAAATTATAACATACTGGGTTAGCAAATAAGTAAGACCAGGATTGTCAAGTGTGCGATAAAGAAGGGAGTGAAAGGAGAAGCTCTTCTTTACATATAATGAATGCTATCTAATGAATGTAGAAAAACAATAAACTTGGAAAAGTCACTATTTGACAACACTCAGGGTAACTACTGATTTAGACAAGGGGCACCATGGATGCCCCTTGTTTTCAGCTTTGAGAAACACTTCAGTCTGAAAGCATTACCCTGCAGACGACTTATTAATTACAAACAGGAAATCAACCTGTATAATGGAGAGACCTGGCAGTCCCTTGAGTCAAGTGAACAACCTGTATTATACAAGGGGGCTTCAAATCGTTGTGAAAATCATTCATTTTCCATTCACCCCATCTGTCCGTGAACTTTCCAACTTCCCTAGTGTGCCTCATGATTGGATGCAGCCAGTATACCACTTCATCTAGTCATGGAACGACTACTTTTATCAGCTAGACAGGTTCATTTCTGTTAATGAACATGCTGTTACTTATGCCAAGATAAAAGATATAAACTAGAAGCATCATGAATTTAGCTTTTCATATAATTACCCTTGCCAAAAAGTTAAACTAACCCTAATTGTAATGGCACCCTCAGATAACTGACCTCTTTGCTTCCAAAAAATCTAAGTCACAAAAAGCAAATACAGGGGGACTGCTTTAAAATAATAATGTGTCATAATTAACTGATAGTAATGTAAGGCCCTTTTAAATACCCCATCAGAGACAAAAAGTCATAAAAGATATTTGGGGACAATACAAAAATTTGATTATGCAGCTTCTCAGGAGTGCTAATAGTATCATCACCATGATAACAGTATTGTGTTACTATGCATAAGAGTGCTACTATTCTTAGGAAATATATATTAAGGATTTAAAGGGAAAGTATAGTAAAACCTCTAACTTACTATTCAATGGGTTAACCCAAAATACCTATTTAAGTCCATACACACAATAATTAAGCAAATGTGGCAAATCATTAACAACTGTGAATCTAAGGGAGGCTGGATGGGTATTCAGGGCAACTTTATCTGTACATCTGAAGTCTTTCAAAATAAAAGCTGGAAGGGAAGAGCAAGAAAAACGTTCTCTTTTTTCCTTTCCTTACCTTGAAGTCGCTCATCGCTGACTATTTTGTTTGTTTGGTTCCAGGTACTATCTATCAATACAATTTTTTTCAACGTTGTGCCTTTCCACTTGCTGTCATTCAAAGAACGGCCATCCTGTCCTTCCGTTTTCTTGCGTTTAACAGGCGGCTTGTCAGGGTCAGCATGTTTGTCTCTACGGCTATTTTGAATCCTTTGTTGCAGATGAGAAGAAATATCTTTGATTGAGACAGACTTAGGTCCGGGGAAAACAAGGGCAACCTGAAACAAAGAAAACTCTTGTTAGTAGCTCCTGACAGACTTAAAACTCTGAGAGGGAAAAATGTTGAGATGTAAAACATGCATTCGGTTCTATTGTACGTTCTTTTAATAAGTATGGCACAATGTTTCTGGCTTTTCTCTAGTAATGTATCATCATAAATACAACCAAAAAGTCCTACAGGGAGTCCCCAGGTTATGAAAATCTGACCTGCGGGCCTCTCCTACTTGCTCTTAAAGCAAGGTGGGAAACTTAAATATTTAAGTAATTCTGTGAAGGTGATGATGTAAAACAGGGACAGATCTGCAATGTTACAATGTGGCGATTCGTCAGGGAACCAGAACAGAAAACTATCAATGAGTGAAGTATAAGACTCCATCCTTGTTTGGATTCATAGACATAACACCTCTCATCATAGAAACCAAAAAACCAAACTCACTGCCATGAGTCGGCTCTGGCTTATAGCAGCCCCGTGCACAGGGGCCCGTGGGCTGCTGGGACTAGATCTTTAGGTGGAAAGCCTTGTCTTTCTCTCGCCACCGCAGAACTACTATGTTCTACTTAAAAACATAAACGTTACCAATTGTTCCAGAGTAGGAAATATAATAATCCTTGATTCAAAATGCTCAGATACACGTTTCCATACAAACTAAATATATATGTGCTTGTGTGTGTGTGAATTATGGGAGAAAGATGAGGCTCCCTGCTCCCATAAAGATTTACTGCCTTGGACAACCTAGGGAGTGCTTCTATGCTGCCCTATGGGGCTGCTGAGTTGGAATTAACTCAGGGGCCGTGGGTTTGTTGAATTTTGGGTTTTGTATAATATGTGTGTGTATTAAAGTTTGAGATACATAGAAAGAAAAGCTAATACTTACCAAGTAATTTCTGGAGCAAATGAAGATATTAATTTTATCTTGTTTTAGATCAATCACAGTAACAAATGATCCTCAAGAGAACTAAAAGGGGCTGCTTCTTGCAGCAGTACCCAGGGCCTAATGTTTTGAGATCTACCTAACATTCACTTGTCAGCACAATCAGTTGTATCTCACTAAATCTGCCCATTCCAACTACTCAGACTCTAAAAGTGAGTAAGGAAGATCTTTAAACAACTAAAAGAAATGTTATAGAGACCATATAGTAAATCTTCCTTCTCAGTCTTTCTTTTCTTTTCCTTTTTTTTTGGAGGGGGCGGGAATTCCAACAGATTTTTATGTAGTTTCCCTGTTTGTATCAAATTAGACAGACAGGAGAATGAAGGCCAGAAAAAGTAAAGCAGGCATAGTAACACTGGCAAAGAGTAAAAAGCTGAACAAATATGGCATTTAAAGAAAAGTCGACCAGGCTCAAAGAAGCATAAAGCGCTAGAGCAGCGGTTCTCAACCTGTGGGTCACGACCCCTTTGGGGGTGGAACGACCCTTTCACAGGGGTCGCCTGACCCATAACAGTAGCAAAATGACAGTGATGAAGTAGCAATAAAAATCATTTTATGTTTGGGGATCACTACCACATGAGGAAGTGTATTAAAGGGTCGCGGCAGCAGGAAGGTTGAGAACCACTGCTCTAGGGTCACCGGAAACTTGGACATAAATAAAGTAAAATTCACACTACTCAATGCTACTACATAAGGATATACTAGAAATTTAAGAAATTAATTTGTGTTCAAAAAGTTTAGTAAGGCAAAATAATTTAAAATTATTTTTTAGATTCATTGTAAAGAGTCGTAAAAAACAAGCCACTTACTTCGTGGTCCGTTTCTTCGTATTCCGGAATACAGGGATACGTATAAATATTTACAAATTCAGGAGCTAAAAGTTTTGCATGTATAGCAGTACTTTTTCCATCTGTTTCATTTGGGTGCTTAATGATATCAATCTTCAATGGAAGCTAAAGTTGAAAAAAGTGAATATCACAGATATAAAAATTCTATTTTTAAAATTAATAAAATGGCTTCTAAGGCTTATATGGTAAGCTCATAATAATTTGCTATATATACTCTCATTGTTTGAAAGTCATTCTTTTCTAGAGCAGATTAAGGGGAAAACAGTCATAAAGCAAACCCACATTTCATCCTCACTATTATTAATCATTAAGAGAACAAGTATTTTCAACTCATTTAACATAGAATCTCCTCTTAAAACTCCAATGTCATTTTCATTTAAATTACATAGGCGTGAAATTCACTTTCATGCATTTCAGTATCAATGCCAAGAATTGCAGACCTTCTGCTATTTTAAAATGAAATGTTGGACAGAAGTTTCAAATCTAAAATTAAAATTAAAATTAAAATGTTGACCCTTGTACAACTATCAATGCCCAAAACAAATTTTTCTTTTTTGGGGAATATTGTGATGCTCATTTAATGCCCTGAAACAACACAAATGAAGTAAAAATTACATATTTTTAATTGGAAAAACAGAACATGTCTATGAGGAACAATCTTTATGTCCAAAATAATTCTCCTCAAAACCATCGTACCTAAGTCTTTCCCTTAAAGTTCTATTATTTGTTATAGATAATATACATGCCTCAATGCAAAAGTAAAATCTTTTTCTCATTTCTTGAGTTATTTAATTCTCTTATTTCACTTTTGTTCTCCTGCTTTAGCTTTCTTTCTAATGCCTGTTCAAGTCCTGCACTGACAGGGTTATAATAATGGAAACTGAGTCCCATCTCCCCATTATCTGTACAAAGCCCTCCCTGAGTTTTACGTCACGTCAGATGTCAAAGCGTTTCCTTGTTGCAATAAGAACCCTCCCATTACCCAGCCCTGCATCTCATTTTCAACAGGCAGGAGTCTAGACATTTACCTGGAGAAAGAAAATTATTTTCACAGTTAGGACAATGAATATAATGCATGTTTTTAAAGGAGCCAATTGAACAAGGTTTCATGTATGTGCCACCCGGGAATCCAGCACTACCATCCAGAAAATGAACATATCTGAGGTTCCCAAAACTTTTTCTGTGCCTGCCCCCTTCCCTCCCCCCTATCAATAATTGCCCCCAGTTTTCAATCATTAACCTGCTCCCCGTAGATTAGCAGCATCTTCTAGAATTTTATATAAAGGGAATCATACAGCTTCTGTTACTTGGCACCATTATTCTGGGATTCCCTCGTGTTGCTCTGTACAACAGTAGTTCCACAACAGTATCTGAAAGAAACAGCTGCTGCAGTGCTAGTCAATGATCTCCATTTTATATACTTCTATATTTACATATTTTGTCTATTTTATTTATTGAGCAAGGAGGGGATGCTATTATTAATATACCTCAAAAGGACACACGCCCGCAAATATGTACACAAAATAGTTTTCAATTAAGGTTTCCAACAGGACTCTGAGTCTCTGTTTGTAACAACAACAAAACTTAGGCCTACCGATCGTTTATAAGTTAAGACCAATTGCTTCAAACCAATTTCTACTTACAGGAAATTCACCATTTGAGTTAGACGTACACTATGACTTTACAATCATCTGCTTCTGGGTGGACTCTACTTCAGACTTTCTTCATGAGACTGTCTCAGTTGATACTACCACAGTCCCTCTCCCAGGGCCTCTCCGACTCAGATCAGCATGATCTTAGCCCAGAGAAGGTATTACAGAGGGAAAAAGAGGAATGCAGATCACAACAAAATATTCTAACAGACTTTCTCATATGTAGACAAAGGCAGATGGCCAATACTCCAGGTGAACTGGCTCTCGTGGAGGGTTATCGCTGATAAAGGCACAGGAATGAATGCTATGGATATGTTTTACAAATCATGTGGCTGCCCTATTTTTAAAAATTATACAATAAAATGAGAATTTTATGGACCATCTATAAGCATTAGACAGTTATGCAAAAGATGTGCTCAAGAAACATGCTTGGGACCCAGCTTGGGTATCTTTAGTTCTCTCAGAACAAGCCCGAGACTTCTGAAACTTTAACACAAAAGCTGCGCGTATGTCCTATTTCAATTTTAAGTAATCCTTAAAACCACTATATTATATAACGTTAAATGTAGTGATAACTATTTTTTCTTCCAAGCAAGTTTTAATGAGTCCATGTGTATTGAGTTTAGTCGCTCTAAAGTTCTTACAGGTAGTTGTCAAACTTTATACTTTATTTGACTTAATCCTAAAGTCCATCACTGCTAACATCCATGAAATGCACTTTTTGATTAGGTGGACATGGTAGTCTGTGGAGACGAGCCAGTCAGGGGGCGATGTAGCAATGATGAAAAATACAACTTTCCTCTAGTTGCTAAATGTTTCCTCCCCGCTCCCACTACCATGATATGAATTCTACCTTGCAACTGGTACAGATAGGAACTGGAAATACAGGGAATCCAGGGAGGATGATCCCTACAGGACCAACGGTGTGAGTGGTGATACTGGGAGGGTAGAGGGAGAGTGGGTTGGAAAGAGGGAACCGATTACAAGGAACTATATGTGACCTCCTCCCTGGGGGACGGACAACAGAAAAGTGGGTGAAGGGAGACGTCGGACAGGGCAAGATATGTCAAAATAATAATTTATAAATTATCAAGGGCTCATGAGGGAGGGGAGAGTGGGGACGGAGGGGAAAAATGAGGACCTAATGCCGGGGGCTTAAGTGGAGAGGAAATGTTTTGAGAATGATGAGGGCAATGAATGTACAAATGCGTTTTATACAATTGATGTACAGTATGTATGGATTGTGATAAGAGTTGTATGAGCCCCTAATAAAATGATTTTTTTTAAAAAGAAAAGAAATACACTTTTTGATTAGGTGGACATGGTAGTCTGTGGGTCTATTATGTAATCTTAGTTAGCACCAATAAGTATTAATCTAATCAATCAGTTCTTAAATCTAGCTTAAAATCACTATAACACAGATAAATAGATCTGTCATTTTAATGTGATTTTTGTTTAATTTTGGCGACTGATATAAAACCTGGGACCAAGCCACAAAAAAGTAAGAAAATCAACCCTAATTCTTTGAGAACAATCTTTTCTGAAGGAAAAGTCCTGAAGTCATTTTGAAATCTTCACATTGTTGATAAACTAGTCTCGTCAAAAAAATTGAACTCACTGCTATCGAATCGATCCTGGCTCACATAAACCACATAGAACAGGGTAGAACTGCCCTGGTTGTGTGTCCAAGACTGTAACTGTTCACAGAAGAGAGCTTTGTCTTTCTCCCACAGAGCGGCTGGTGGTATCGAACAGCTGACCTTGTAGTTAGCAGTGCAATGTGTAACCATTAGACCTGTTTCTGAAAAGATGCAAATTTATGCCACATTTTCCTATGTTGCAAATAGTTCATATTTATATGTAGCATAATGCTATGTTAAAGAAAACATTTTTATATAATGGAAAACAATACCATTCATCTCAGACCTAAGTGTTTAGTCATGTTTTAAATGTTCCATTGATACAATGCATTTTCATGACATATAAAATGTTTCAGTTAGATTAGTACAGATACATCATAAGGCATTTTAAAGGTCAATTTCCCTACTTTCAAACAGTTACATTTCTTACCAACCTGTACAAGTGGAAGCTGTTCAACAGGTACATTTTCAACAGGGACATAACAGGTATAGCAGTAGAACATTCTTGAACCACCACATTTGAGACACCTGGATCTCCCACTTTGCTGAGCTTTTTGAAGAACTTCTTGTGATGCTAAGCAAAGATTTTGAAGGGGATCTTCTAAAAGTACGGAAGTAGTTTGTGACGGCTGCATTTCCACATATTTTGAATTGCTTTGTTCATTTTCTTTGAGAAATATAGGTGGGTTGGAAGACATTTTTCATTCAAACTCAAGTTTCACGTTTACTTTCAAACGGTATCACAAGTGCACTGTAAAAAACAAACACACACATTTTAAAAACTGGGGAGCAAAGTTAAATAGGTAGCATTTTATTCACTGCTCCTAGAAAATGAATTACTCAAAATTAAACTAACATGTGTTATAATTTTAGTACTGCTCAGTAATAAATTCAACAACAACCAATTGGAGTTACCTTTCTCAACCATTCCCTTTATAAAAACAAAAGGGCAGTAATTTAGAAAACATACTTCAACTATAAAGGTTGGGTGCCAAGAATACATTTCTTGACAACCCTCTTTTCGAAAAATGGTAACTTGGACTTTGATGTTATAGGACCTTAAGTCCCAAATGAATTTCAATGAAAATATATGGTCCCAATGAAATTAGTCAAATTTAGTTGGATAGCTTCTAAAACTAAGAGGTATGTCTTTCTCCAGCTTGCACTAAAACCCTCTCTCTCTCTCTCTCTCACACACACACACACACACACAACAGTAAATACCCATTAGTGAACAAGAGGCATCTACATCCAATTCTAATTTATAAATATCCCACACGGTGAAATATACACGTGTAGGAAAATAAAGTCTGATTATACATTTTACCAAGTAACATTAATGTCCACTCTAAAAATTCATAGTACTTTTAAAAATATAGACGCATTCAGATCCTCTGGGATTAAGAGAGAAAATAGGAAAATGACTTTCCCATTTAATATTTTCTTCAAAATAGGATGGTGGCTGCCAAAATTGTTGCTGGTGTACTCCTTAAGCAAGATAGCTTTTACAGGAGAAGCAGAGCCTGGGGCCCTTCTGATTTGATATGCATTCCACAGCTGTAAACTGATTCTCTTTCAATTATAAACCCGTATGGTATTGTGTTTGACTGGGAGGCTCCAAGCACTGACAGGAGAAACCCTGGGGCTGCACCAGGAAACTGGTCTCCTGGACAGAAGGCAAACACAGAATCCAGCAGAACATAAAAGGCAACATAATTTGTTAAGAAATGAGTGATACCGATTTAACTACTTATCAGGAGCTTCGTAAGAGTGCAGGGCCCAGAAAGCCAGGGTCTAAATAAAGAAAATGATGCTGGTCATTGAAGGGAAAGTATTGCAAGCTTGTCAAATTCACCCAAGTTTGGAAAACCAAAATACAGTAAATATTTGGGGAAGTACTGATGAGGCACAGGTTTACATTCTGGGTTGCTCGGAGAAAGCAATATTTGAGAAAGCTGGTCCAATCCCTTCTTCCTGCTTCACAACTGGAAAGTCGGACTTCCTATCACTCCAAATCACTTGCCTGAAAAGTGGTTTCTAGCTTTGAATTTTCCCTTAATTAGAGAAGCGTGAGAGATTACGCTGCGAATGTTCCTTGTGTCTTGGGTTCGTTGGGCAATTGGACAGGAAACTCGGGCCTTAATATACAGGCACAATATTTCACACACAATTGCAGGGGGTTCTCAGATAGAACCCATCTATAGATTCAAGTAAAGAACTCCTGACTAAAATCAACAGATTCATTCTAAGGAAAAGAGACGCTTTAAGATTTTGGGAAGAGATTCCCTTAGCCCCTGGAGCAGGAGCTACAATTGCTCTGTTGGCCAACAGAATGGCCAACTGTTACACATGAAAAACTGTAGGAAAGTAATGAATTTTCACCTAAATCCTCTTCGGATGGTGTCATTCAACATGCTTATAGATGAACATTTAGAAGCTGTACTAATACTTCCTGACCCAAATCATGGGCTCATCTGATAAACATCTGGTGAATTAGCCTAATTCAAACTGTCCCCTTTTCACTGAGTATTTTAGTGGATACTTAGTGGGTTCACATGTGCCACCAAAATACTAAGAGTAATGGGGCTATAAAATGCGATTCCATGGGAATGCCATGAAAGCCAATGTGTTTCCCTGATGTTCAGTGGGAAGGTGCTTGAGAATTTCCAGAATTATTCTTCAGGAATTCCTGGAGTTTTTTTTTTTGTTTTGTTGTTGTTGTTGTTTTTAAAATCTGGTCACATACCTGTGCAGGTCCAACATTAATTTTTTTCTAAAGCTGAGATACCATACCAGCCTTTTTCATACAAACTCTTGGTTCCTTACATACCACCCTACCATGTGGTAGGCAGGCTGTCTTGCCTTCTTTAAAATATTTTTTTTTAATAATAAAGTTGGGGGTTAAGAATCCCTGGTGATGCAAGGGGCTCAGCTTTGGGCTGCTAACCACCAATGGATGGTTCTGCCATCATGGGGGCAAGATGAGGCTTTCTGCTTCCCTAAGGCTTTTCCGTCTTGGAAACTCTGTCCTATTAAGATCGCTATGAGTAGGAATCAATTTGAAGGCAGTGCGATTGGAGTTGTCAGTAGGTCTTCAATGTGGCAATTACAAGCACCCAACAGCGTGGACTATGCTTGAACTATACCTGAAATAGAGTTTACTTGCCCTACATTCCCAAGACATTATTCAGACGCAAGAACCAGGCTCTAAATGCCCAGAATTGCAAACCTATTTCAATGCCTGTTTTTTCAATGCTTCTGTCGTGATCTATCACTCCAAATCCATCCGATCTACACATTAAAAGAGGCTCTTACGCCCATGCTGCCTGTGCACCGGGCGGAAAGCCCTGGAAACAAATGGGGTGGGAAAGGCGTGTGAAGGAAACGTGGAAGCCTGTTTCCACCGAAAGGCCCACAAAAGCCAAGAGAGAAAAGTGCACGCGCGGGGCCTGCGGCCGCGCTCAACGGCGCCCAGCAGAACGGCTCCCTGCGGGCGCCGCCAAGCCCACGGTCCCCAGAGTCGCGGAGACGCGCCCGCGAACGGACCGAGACTCAGACCTGCACCGTCTGCGGGGCCTGCGCAGCTCCACGCGCCGTCCTCGCCGCCGGGCAGCGCGCCGGACGGGGATCGGGCGGACCGCGCCGCACGGGGATCTGGCGGACCGCGCCGGACGAGGATCGGGGCGGACCGCGCCGGCGGAGCGCTTTCCCGGCGACACCGGTGGGAGGAGCCAGGCCGGTCAGGACGTCGCTGAGGCTGGGCGTGGCGCGCGCCGGCGGAAAGGTAACGGGCGGGGCGGGGAGAGGGGCGGGGTCTGACGGTGGTCCCGCCCCCTCCTCTCCTCTCCGGAAGCCAGAGGACCGTGGACTTGGTGACTAGGGGTCGGAGCCTCCAGGTCCAGCCTTACACCTCCCTGGCTGGTCGCGGAGTCCGCATCCTACGCTGGGCCCAGCCCCCATTTTCCAGGACAAAGATTTCGAAATGCACGCTCTCTCAGGTGATGAGTTGTGGGGAAAGAACGGGAGAAGGGGGAAAAAAAAGTTGAACCCAATTTCTAGAAATATTGTAGACTTAGTTCTGCTATAGCTCTGCAGCTTTGTGAAGGTCGAGATTTAGTAGTGAAGGTGATGGGCTGGACACTGGCTGTCAACAGTGGTCTCAAACAGCCATGGTGAGGATGGCGAATCCGGCCAGGGTTTCCTTCTCTTCGCTCATACCCAAACTCAAGTCATTGCCATCAAGTCGAGGCCATTTCACAGCCACCCTCTGGAGTGGAGTGGATCTGGGCCTTTGGGTGTCCCATGCTTTACATCTTGATGGGAGCAGACAAGCCTCGTCTTCCTCCTGGGGAGCGGCTGCTGGGTTCAAACCGTTGGCGTCCAACCTCCCGCCTCGTGGTTTGCAGCTCAGTGCATAACATAGCCCATGATGTCACCAAGGCTCCTTTTGTTGTCCCTAAGCACCTATTCCCAACAACATAATATTGAAAGCTACTAATAAGAGTAATAAGAGTTGTAAGAGCCCCCAATAAAAATGATTTTTTTAAAATTCAGCACCCTAAAAAAATAAATAACGAAAATGACTAGGAAAAAAATCACTTCTAGGTAATTTGATTTGAGTGAAAATTAAACATAGGGTTGGGATTACTTTGACGATAATCAGTATGAAATTAAGCATACTGTCCACCTGTTTTACCCCTGCCAAACTCCAGAGAAAACCAAAACTGAAACTGTATGTTGAACAGTCTACGATTTAGAAATACAATGGTCAGCTATTGAACAGTGAATTATGCAAGTGGCAGGTAAAACATACCTTTACCCTAGAGAGACTTACAATGCTCAGTTAAACAAGGGTAGTGGAACATAAGAGACGCTGGATAGCAATAACAAGGGTTCAACGACTAAACTGCCGGTGGCTAGAACCCACTTGGGAAGAAAGGCCTGGTGGTCCAGTTTGGAAAGATCACTCTGGCCAACTGGGGGTTGCAATGACACTGTGCACACTGGGGGGTGCCAGGAGTCAGAATTGACTCAATTGCAGCACAGAAAATACAAGGGCCCCAGAAGTGCCTATCACTCTTTTAGTCAAAGACAGAGACCAGGTTGCTTTGAGAAATTCTAATTTTATGTCTGAAAGTGCTGACAGAAAGAATCAGTGGGGTTTGCTACCTCCAAATTGCTTCAAAGATCTGGTGAAAGCCAAACAAGTTATATATCTTAAACTATGTGGCAGGTTGTTAAAGAAATGATGAACCCAGAGAACTAAATATACAATTTCAAAGGCTGCCTCAAGAAGGAACAGTCAAATTTAATGAAATATGCAGAGACCTAGAGTTAGAAAACCCAAATGGAAGGACATAGCATATCTTAAACTGAAGGAACTAAACAAAAAATCAAGCAATATTGAAAGATTCAAGCCTTGAGTTGCAATATTGAAAGATTTTTGGACAGATATATATATATATAAATAATTTAAATCATTTTATTGGAAGCTCTTACAGCTCTTATAGCAATCCATATATCAGTTGTATGAAGCACATTTGTAAAATATTTCCTTTGTATTTGAGCTTTTGGTATCAGCTCCTCTTTTCCCTCTTTCCTTCCCCATCCTCCCGCCCTCGTGAACCCTTGATAATTTATAAATTATTTTTGTTTTCATATTTTACACTGTATGGACAAATATGGACTGATGCAGAAAACATTAAAAGAAGATGAAAATAATACACAGTCACTGTATCAAAAAGAACTAGTCAACATTCCACCATTTCAGGAGGTAGCATATGAGCAAAAATCAATGGTGCTGAAGGAAGAAGTTCAATCTTTACTGAAAGCAATAATCAAAAACAAGTCTCCAGGAACTGATGAAATACCAAATGAAATGTTTCAACAAGCTAATGATGTACTGAAAGCACTTACTCATCTATGCTAGGAAATTTGGAAGACAGTTACTTGGTCAACTGACTGGAAGAAATTTATATTTTTGCCCATTCCAAAAATAGGTGACCCAACAGAATGCTCAAATTATAGAAAAATATCACTGAAATCACGTACAAATAAAAATTTGTTGATGATCGTCCAACAATAACAGCAGAACATTGACAAGGAGCTGCCAGAGGTTCATGCCAGAGTCAGAAGAGGACACAGGGCAAGGGATATGATCCATGATGTCATGATGTCAGATGGATCTTGGCTCAAAGCAAATACCAGAAAGAGATTTACTTGTGTTTATTTGACTAGGCCAAGGCACTCAACTGAGTGGATCATAACACACTATGGATAACTTTGAGAAGATTGGGAATTCTAAAACAACTGTGCTCATGTGGAACTTGTACAAGGATCAAGAGACAGCTGTATGAACAGAACAAGGGAATTCTGTGTAGTTTAAACTCAGGAAAGGTATGCAACAGGGTTGTATCCTCTCACTGTACTTATTTAATCAGTATTCTGGATTATATGAAAAGGGATGCAGCCTAAGGATTAGAAGAAGGCTTATTAACAATCTTAAACATGCAGCTGATTCAACCTTGCTAGCTAAAGTGAGAAGGAATTGAAGCACTTGCTGATGAAGATCAAGGATTACAGCCTTAGATATGGATTAAACTTATTATAACGAAGACCAAAATCCTCACAACTGGATTAATATGTAACATCATGATAAATGGAGAAAAGGTTGAAGTAGTCAAGGATTTTTGCCTTGCTTGAATCCACAACCAGTGCTCATAGAAGCAGCAGTCATGTGTTGTTGCATCACGTAAATTTTCCACACAAGTCCTTGTTAGAGTATTGAAAACAAGGATGTTACTCTGAGGACTTGTGTGCCCCTGACCCAAGCCATGGTATTTTCCATTGCCCCATATGCATATGAAAATTGGATATTGAAGAGGGAAGAAGAATAGATGTATTTGAATTGTGGTTCTGCCAAAGAATATTGAAAGTACCCTGGGCTGCTAAAAAGACAAGCAAATCTGTTTTAGAAGTTGCATGGCCAGCTTACTCCTTCAGCGCAAAGATGGCAAGACTTCATCTTACATACTTAGGACATGTTATCAGGAAGACTAGTCCCTGGAGAAGGACATCATGCTTGGTAAAGGGGAGGAGCAGACAAGAAGATGAAAGCCCTCAAGGAGATGAATTGAAGCAGTGGGTGCAGCAATGGGCTCTAGCAACAGAACAATTGTAAGGATGGTGCAGGATCAGGCAGTGTTCCGTTCTGTTGTGCAGAGGGCCAATGTGGGCCAGAACTGACTGGATGGCACCTAATGACAACAGATGGTGGCAGGATAGGGCTGGGGGAAATCATTAACAGGTTTTGAAGATGATCAGAGGACCTCAAACAATGAAACAAGGGGAACAAGGTTCACAGGAAAATTCTCCCAAGAGATTATCAGACTATCAAGTGATAGCATTACTTCAGGGGCTGTGGGACCAGTACTACCTACTGTTTCAGGCTCCACTGCTTATCTAAATGGCCCTACTTAGCCCCTTCTTGAATTAGAACATCCTTACTGATTAAGTTGAAAAGGAATCTTTACTACAAGGGATGGGGCTCTTACTTTCTAGTGTTTGATTAACCGCAGGCAAACTCTTTCACCCCTTCTATATCAATAGGATTTCTAAGTCCTAGAAGTTTTTAATTTCAAAATAGAGAGATCAAGGGGGGCTAGACTTGTAAGGCCTTGAATGCTATGGTTTACAAAAATAAAAAATTTTAAAACGCAATGCCATCAAGCTGATTCTGACTCACAGTAATCTTTTTGGACAGAGTAGAACGGCTCCTTTGTGTTCCTAAGACTGCAGGCGTAAACAGCCTCTTCTTTCTCCTTTGTAGCAGCTGGTGGGTTTTAACCACTGACCTTGTGGTTAGCAGCTCAATAAACAACTCATACAGTGCTCTTTTCAACTGTGTGTGATCCATGAGGAAGAGAAAGATGTGGTGGTTTGCTTCCATAAAGACATACAGCCTCAGAAACCTTATGGGATCGCTCTATCCTATCCTATAGGGTTAAAATGACAGTAGTGGGACCTATTAGGGGACATCCTGATCTATGTGTAAGCAAGATATATTTAATTAAAAATGCCAGTTTGATAAATGAAATGTTATAAAAATGGAAATACCAGTGCTCAATATCTTGCAAAGTTAAATATTTGATTCAGTAAATAAGAGGGCTTCAAAAAGTTGATGAAAAAATGAAATTAAAAGACAATGAGATTTTTCTACAAAATTTTTGAAGCCTGTCCAGATTCAAGAGGAGGAAACATAGACTCCACTTCTCAAAGAATTGTAAGAGTTTATGATCATTTTTTAAAAACCATCGCCGTGCATTTACAACAGAAAACTCAAAAGTTCAGTGGTTTAATAAACATATATCCGTGTTTATAAAATGTTTAAGTTATTGTAGGTTGACAGCTTCTAATTTAGGGAGAAAGGTGATCTTTTGGGTGGAGTAAGTAGTAAAATATTATCTCAAGCCAGGAATACATAGTTTACTACCTCACTATCTTTTTAAACTTAATTTCTAGTTTTATCAAAGTAGTTCAAGTGCACAGATTAAAAAGCAATGAGTACTAATTTCAAATTCAGGTGACTATTCAGTTACCATTGTTATGTAATACTCTAAAATATTGAGGC